TACCATCAAGGGTTTTGCAGTTTTTCTTCCACTGGTATTCATTACTGAATGCACCAAAATGTTCCTGCAAGATCTGGTTTAGAGATCACATCTTTGACATGCACTACCGCCTGTTATGCCTTCAGACTTGTTATCTCACAGATGGGACAATGGAAACAAGGTACATGAGCTTGTGTTGAGAGAAAGCTACAAAGCTTTTTTAAACATCTCCTGCAATTAAACGTGCAAAGCTAGGTACTGCCACGCTGCGTGCCTACAAAGCTGGTGTGTTACGCCGAAGGGCAGTTATACCAGCTATACCGATACAGATACAGAGTGCAATTCCACTTCCAATTTGGCCTTGAGGCATGTGTGTAGATGGCCTGCCTCAGCACACGTAGCTACTGATATGCAGCAACCATGATGATGATGATGATGTATTATGCCAAGGAGTGGTTACACTGCCTATACAGATACAGATAATGACCTTGTGAGTCTAATGTTGTTACACCCAATTTCTGTAAAAAAAAATGCTGGACATGTGTTGCTTTTAAAGTTTTACTATTATTTCTTCAATTGGTATTCACTACTGGATAAGCCAAAATGCTCTTGAAAGAGATCATTAAACTATGTCCACTTTCCCGACATTTTCATGCCAAACATGTAGGATTTTGAAACCTACCGTCTAGACTCTAGCTGCTGGACTATGTAGCTACGAGGACCAGACTCTTATCATTATCTTTCTGTTGCGAGTAACTGGTTTTCATCATTCCAGGCTGATACCATCTCTTGATGGGTGGTGAGCAATGCCAAGTAGTTGACTTATCTGCTCAGTAGCACAATTACCCGATACTCCATAATGAAGAGCGGAGATACAGAGCACTGATAAACCACCCTGAGATAGGGATTAGCAAACACTCCTACTTTGGCTTGATTTAAGACTTAGGAACCTCTGCCATTACATGTTGCACAGGCCTTGTACAGTGTAAAGATAACCCTCAACATCCGTCTTCATACCCCGCTGCGAAAATCAATACAGTGTGCAACACGGTAAATCTAGCCACCTGTTTCTTGCTTCCTTTTGTA